AATAACACTATTTATCGATTTCGTGATTTTTAATATATTGTTTCGACTTTCATCGATTCTTATTTTCGAATATCATAGTTTCATAGGTACGTCGTAACTAAGGGATTTGCCTGCAACCTTAGGCCAACACGCAATTGTGGCAAGAGAGAGACATGATGGAAGAACATAAGTTGTGAATAGTAGTTTAAGGCCGAGGAAGAAGATAATGAAGTCAAGAAAGAAAAAGTTTAGAGAGAAGATCAACCAAGAAAGCCAAGACTGCGAGAAGGGAGTTAGAATAAAGAAATACCCATCTCGTTTCATCTTCAGAAATCCACAACTTTTCGGTGAAAGCATTGTAAAATGTAAACTCCACAACCATGCAGACAATTTATCTACCAGATCTAACGCAATTTCATGAAGAATATAAACTAAATTATTCAAATCGAGACGTGAAATAACCATGGTTAAAAAGGAAGATTTGAGAAACTACAAAGATTATCACAACTCTGGAGATAAATGAATGTTAATATTTATGCAATTATGATGTTTATAACTTTATTAATTTCATTCGTTTATATTATATGACTCGAATTCTTAAAAATTGAAACTAATAATACACCCAACAAGGATTCACATAATTCATAAATTGGTGAGAGTCGAATTAAATCCTGGAGATTCTCGTACTTTGGACGGATTTGTTATATAGTTTTGACTTTTGACGGGATTTTATTATGGTTTCGAGATTCGAGGATTTGCTAACAAGATTTATTATAACTTTATCAATGCTCCGTTGAAATGCGAGAGTTTTGCCAGGCAACTATAATTTGATACACAGTACCAGAATAGATAATTCTTGACTGAAATTTCTTTAACTTTTGTATTTATTATTACCTTGCAACAATTTTTTCATATTTTAAATTTCATCTTATCGTAAGATGCAAATTTTTTATATTAACTTATTTTTGTTCGGAGTCAGCATTATTTTTTTTTTAGTTGTTAACTTACATTTTTTTTTCATACTTGCCAGTGTTGAATACTTTATTTTTACTTTTTTCTTTCGGTAGGATTCATTTAAAAGGTTTTATCCGGAAAGAGCAAATAAACACAACACATATTACTTATTCCTAGTGTTTTAATATGATAATTATCTAATATAAAATCCTAATCAAATTGCTGTGCATCAACGTTGACAACAAAACTTTTAAAAAAACAAGATTTACATAATATCTTCATATTTGAAAAAATTTTCTTTACCGGGATCATTGTGTTGATCAAGAAACAAGTCAACATCATAAAATCACATGATAATGTCATTATTGTGCTTGCATTGATAATATAATAAAAAGTAAATTGTTCAATACATGTTATACATCTATCACTTTTATGAATTCATCCGAGGCGCAGTGTGATTTGCGACTAACACCGTCATATGCTTTGTTAACCTTCTGAAGAGACATTATCATTTCATAGAGATACAGTAATAATTCGTCTATAGAAAAGTCACAAATAATAATTGATGCATTTCAAGAGAGTGTATTTTTATCTTAATTTAAAAACGAAGCCAGTTTTAAGTATATATCAAATCAACGGAAATACTGTATCTATGTGTATTTGAGGGCGCTCTGGCGGGGAAAGACTAAAAAGCTTTAAATATGACAAAATTGTATTTTTGTGAAAATACAAACACTTCGACTTGAGGATATATATTATTTGAAGATAATGAAAGCAGATATAAAGCAACATTTTCATTTAATAATGTTAGGAAGATATATCTTCCGCTTTATCACATATATTTTTTGTTTTCAATTATTTTTTCCTAAGACATGGTTTCCAAAGAGATCATTGGGAATTCCATAGATCGTTTTATTAGGATTGGAGTGAATTCGTGACGTGAATCGTGAATTATTGGTATCAGCAAGATAGAATGTCTGAATCAACAGGTTCAGTTCACAAAATAATGCATTTGAAATAAAATAATAGGAACCATACATATCAAAGCTTTATCTCGCCAAGTCAATGCATTATCGTCACTAAAAAGAGAAATCGGATAAAAAAGTTCATCTCCACGGTAATTATAAGGATTTCGTGATCGTGATGTTTACTTGTGAAATTGCAAAATGACGTGAGAACTTTAAGGCGTTGAAGTGTATATTGCTTAAATATGATGAAGGCCATAATGAAGGCAGTCATCATATATTGGTCGAACCCGATGTTTGCAACCATGTTGGATGCAAATTATATATCGTCTATCGACCATTCCATCGACAAAACTCATGAACCGCCTTTATTATATTTCTTTTTTTTTTTATTTATGTTTTTTCTTAATCCACTAAGTTCAAAAATTGTAAAGACATCTTATATATATACTTCAATTTTTAAAGAAAATATTTGTGTAAACCATCAATGGAATGAATATAGAATCGTGAAACAGCTTGTTCAGAAACGTGGTTAAAAAAATTTGTTGAAGAAATAAAAGTGTTTCATGGTAATGTTACGAATGATAAGAGAATGATAATACTTAAAAAGGAACCTGGATCATAAGGCTGACAAATCAAGTTTAATTTGCCGATTTTGCGCACGTATTGAGAAAATTTAATTTCGGCTTAAAATTTCCAGTTTCAACCATTAAAATAGTTGATTGTAACTCCGGTCGAAATCAATTTTCGGCCGAAATTAAGATTTCTATAATTGCAAAAAAAATTTGCTAACTCTGGCCAAATTCATAGAACAGGCCTCGATTAAAGATTTTTAGGTCGGTTCCACCTTTGTTTCAAGTCGTTAAAAGTTTAAATTATGGAGACATTCATGAGGTTCTTCAGTTGAATATTATATTTAATTTTCAATTCGTCACCCCTTGCCTATAACAATTATGTCATGCGATAATTTGTCCTCGAAATAACCTGGGTATTCTATGTATAAAATGATGTTGGGCACTCGGTCTAATCTTTGACAAATCAATGTTGAAACTTGTTAAAGCTATTGAAAACTAGTTTTTCATGGGGCCGTAACCCACCACGACGCAGCCGTGATGAGGGCAAGAAAATCTCTAGATAGAAATTATGTGTTATATGTAGATAGAATACTTTTCCATCCGTCAATTACTTCCTTCAACTGGAAAATTCTAAAATAATAGTTTATAAATTTGTTACTAAGGTATGAAAAATAAAAAATTACAAATGGTATTACGTTATTAGTTCAAATGATCAACATTGATTAGATTCCTCCGACACGTGAGGTGAACGTCTCATTTTGACAATACTGACTATTGTGTCGTAGTTCAAAATATTTCATATAAACAAATTATCTACGATCGCAATATTTCGAGTAAAAGAAACAGAAATATACATTTTAATAATTAGAAACATATGAAATCGCCTTCGTATGTGACATGAAAATTGGATATTTTGCAGTATTAGAAAGGGAGGAAGCTCTTTTTTTTTTAAGGTTAAATTTTGGACTTATTTTACTAAAAAAAAAATTATATAAATATTGTTTTGTAATAACTCGTTTTAAATAAAATACCGCCCATTTTTTTATTGTCAAATAAATTTATAGGGATCCAAAATTGAATTTTTATTTATAATAATGTATAACATTTAATCACATGACGCTAGTATGGAGCTGTCATATTATTGAAGATTTTTTCGTAATTTTATAAGAATCTTCTTAAACAATTCCTTCCGTTTCTGCAAAATCATTGCCTCTTCAAGTAATGGAAGCTTTTCTTAAAAATAAAAAAAAAATAAAAATAAAAAATATTTTTTCATTAAATCGATAAATTTTTACGCCTTTATAACTCTCAATTCTATTTATCTAAAATAACATAATTATAGAAAGAAAATTTTTTCCGTAATTTTTTTCATAAATGCGGTTCTATTTTGACTTTTTTAAAGTTCTTCTGTATCCATTTATTGCATATCAATTTCAAGACAGGCTCGTAATTTGAAAAATGCGCGTGAGATAAGGATACAAAAATTAAAAGCACAAAACACCATAAAAGCAAAGAAAAATGATAAGAAAGAAATGAGATCCAATCAGAACTTGATAATTTCAAAATGTAAATTAATTATCTAAAAAGGTTTAAATGAAGGCAAACTTTTTTCACCATATTTTTTTAAAAAAGGTGTAATTTTCTTGAGTTCAAGAGATACAGAGGATTTCTGTTTACTTTCGTGGTTTTCCCGATGGTTAGGAGGTATGTAATTTTTTTTTTTTTTTTTTTGATATTAAAGGTAAAACGCAATCATTGAAAAGTATAATATATCCATCTCATTAGAAGGCGCAGTAAATTCCTTGATTTCAATTAATTCAATACTTCTTACTTTGCAGTATACTTATAATTCGTCACAAAGAAAATAATAACTTTATTAGCGTCAATCATCATTGTCGTTCTTTTGAAATTTTGTTGTAAAGTGGAATTCTCTCAAGAAAAATAAGTTCCGTTGCGAATTACATATATAATAAGCTAAACTCAATTTGATTTTCGATTATAACCAATTTCAGCAGTTAACTCTAATTGGTAAGAACAAGAAGCGTTAAATCCTTTTTAAGTTGACAAGCAACCTAGATTATTTATGGAAAAATTACAGTTGGAAAAGATTTAAAACGAGGGCTGAGGCAAATTTGTCATGCAATTACTCATTTAACAATTTAGTCCAAAAAAAAAAAAAAAAATGGTTTTAAAAAACAATTTAGAAAAATCCTTAAAAGACTTGGAAACGAAAATTAAGGAATTGGAGCAAAGTAACGAAGGGTTACGTTCACAATTCAAATATTTAGAAGAAAAAGTTAGAGAGCGAGATGAAGAAATCATAGTCAATATCAATAATTTAGAAGAAAAGGTTAGAGAGCGAGAAGAAGAAACGAAAGCCAAGCAAGAAATTATTAATAATTTAGAAGAAAAGGTTAGAGAACGAGAAGAAGTGTCCAAAGAAAAGCAAAAAATAATTAATGAATTAGAAAAGAGAATCAGAAATCTTGAATCAATTATTTATGTTGATACTATTGAAAGTATAACAATTACAGATGCTAAAAAGGATGACATATTGAACACCTTTGGCGGATTGCAAAGATATCGAAAATTGACAAGTCTCTATTGTAAAAATTCTCAAATAACAAGCTTACCAACATTACCTAACTCCTTAATAAAACTCGATTGCCACTTTACTCCCATAACAAGCTTACAAACATTACCAGACTTCTTAACGGAATTCTATTGCCATGGAACTCAAATAACAAGTTTACCAAATTACCTAACTCCTTAACGAAATTCAATTGCTCTAAAACTCAAATAACAAGTTTACCAACATTACCTAACTCCTTAACGGAACTCCTTTGCTCTGCAACTCAAATAACAAGCTTACCAACATTACCAAACTCCTTAACATTTCTTGATTGCTCTTATACTCAAATAACAAGCTTACCAACATTACCTAACTCCTTAACGACACTCCATTGCTATGAAACTCAAATAAAAAACTTACCAAATTTACCCAATTCCTTAACGCGAATCTTCCCTCCATATTTAAAAGGTCAATAATCAAAACAATTATCCTACCAACTTCTAACACCTTGATACAATTTAGCAATTTTTTTTTTTTAACTTAAATGATTAATTTGACTTTTTTTTGTTCAAGCATTTATTTATTAATAATATTAAAAATGTATTTTTTGATCATTAATTTAATTAAAAATTAATTTAATTCACAACCATTTTATATTCAGTTATTTATTGATTTAGAATTTAAAAAACTAGCAATACAACCAATTTTAGGATAGCTAGCTTTAGATTTTACCCTTACAACAAATTCTAAATTTATAAGAATTTTTGAATTACCTCAATTATAAGTCTAATAATTATTCACATAAAGCTCGAGCTTGAACGACGAGGACCTCATTTAGATCAATTTTCAGAAACTTAGATCAAGGAAAATTTTTCAATAATTTTCCCTCAAACTTATTCTTTAAATATTACCCTAAAACCAGTTCCCATCTAAATAGTTAAGGATAAAAATTTAAATTATTCTGTAAACAAAGAAATAAATATATCAGAAAAATATTATAAATTAACATACCGAAAGGATATGACCGAAAGAAATTCATTTCAATGCACGGAAATTGCCGGTAAACTTTGATTAATATATAAAAGAGATGAAAATAAAAATATAAAAATACGAGTTCATTTATTTTTTATTGTATTCCTAAAACTTACAAATTGATGTCATTGTACGATGGTTTCTCCTTACAATACGCATTTTATACTCATGTACTGAAGAAATTCAAAATTGAAAGTAACCTTCAAATTTGAATTATTTTTTTTTTTTACATGCTTAATTTTAGAAAATTAGAGTCTTTTTATTGTTGTAAAATAACACGTGATCAAGAAGCTACATTCAATAAACAGTTATTTAACGAAATATAGAGTGAAACAAGTTTTTGAAGTCAAAATAAAAGATTTAAATAATGATGGTATCTAGAAAGAAGTATCTTTTACTAGATTTAAAGAAGTATATCCGCGATAAACTTAACTCTTCCAACTTTACAAGATATGAAACCTTGCCAGCCACGTAAAAGGTTAGAGTATTTATACATATATTTCTTACGTATCAACGTTCATATATATTTGTTTCCTAGCTAAACTTAAGTTCAGTAATATTCTTGCTCTGGAGTGATGCAAAAGCATTAATATTAAACTAGGCTAATTCTCTTAAATAATACAAATTTAATAGTATGACCATATTTCTACAAAAAAATCTAGAATATACCAGTTTAAAAGATTATTATTTTATTATAATGACAATATTTATACAGCAGAGGAGTGGTTGTATAAATGTTCTTGAAAGTAATATTCATATACCATGCTGTGGATAGAAAATTTCAAACATTATAGAAATCGGAATGCAATCAATTGGACTACAGCTATAATAGGTGTATCACATTGTAACAAGACATTTGGATGAACTGAACTAGATCAATGACGTAATAATTATTTGAAAATTAACGCTAAGGTCTACGTGACTTAAATATATCATGTCACAAATAGTGGTAAAAATATAATTATTTCTACCAGAATTTAAGCTAAAATTATATAAATTTACATAATTTCAATTTTTCGATCATTTTGTCCTAATTTGCATAATCTATTACATTAAAACTCGTCAAATCCATATTTCATTTACTTATTTAAAGTTGACCATTATTTATTCTCTATTCCTATTTTTTGTAAAGAAGGATCATTGAATTATATATTATAAGTGTTAAATATAATTCTTATTAAATTTAATTTATAAATTAAATAAATATCAATAAATATTACTTAGTATTTTATATTAGAAATATTAACAATTATAAATAATTATCAAATAAAATTCATAATATTATGTATCTAATATCTCTTTAGATAAAATAAAGAATATTTTAATAAGATACAATTTTATGATGAATCAGAAGTAGCAAGTAATTACTAATTATTAATTTTATTAATGTTTATTAAAATTCAAATAAGTACTATTACTAATTTCTATAGCTTAAGCTAAATATAAACTTACTATGTATATTTTATTAGGAATTTCAATATCATTTACAAATATTTATAATATTTGAATCAGACGTTACATAATACTAATGCTAAAGAAAATATGTATACTAATATTAATTATGATAGTTGTAATTTTTCTCTCTTTGTTAGAATTATTAGGTAAATATTTTTATTATTTTTATATGATTCTTATATCAACTTTATTATTTAAAAAGGCGTAAGTTTAATAGAAGATAATAGGAAAGTATTCATATTTATGAAAATATAATATATGAGATTCTTATCAAAATAAATTAGAGTTAACTAGATTAATTCAGACAGAAAAGTGTATAGGTATGTAATATTAAATTAATATTTAATTATTTGATTACTTTGATTATTTAAAAATAACTTATTTTAATTATTTGTATTTTAATAATTATTTTAAAAAAAAGATGTAAAGACAAAATCTTTAAGTAATTCTTTAAGTACTATAGAAAAGCAAAGGAATAATTCATGAAATAAGAAAATTCAAGTGGGATTATTGAGTTAGATAATGATCTACTTCTTGATTAGCAAACAAAAATTATTGATTTAGTGCAAGAAAAGTTAAAAGTAGACAAATGATGAACTTGAGAAAGAAATTATATTAATTGAAAAGTAAAATTGTATTTTAAGTTTATAAAAATTATTAAGAAAGAAACATTAATAAAATTTAATTAAAAAATGATAATGTTTTGACTTTATTTTTAGTTGCAAATTTAATTACTTTATCACACAATTATTTAAAAGAAAATCAAAAGAATACTTTTATAATATAAAACTTTTAAGAAAGTATTTATACAAAATAATATATAAAATTTGTATAAGATTAGAAAAATAGATGAGTTAGGCTTTTTGTATTTTTTTTTAAATTTAGATAGTTTTACAACTATCAAACATTCTTTAATTTTTATTTAATCATTATAATTAAGTATTTGTTAATTAGAAACTAATATTTGCATGTTATCATTTAGTTATATTTAGAATTAATAAGTAAATTTTTATATGATTTTATATAAAAAATAAAAAAAATTTTAAAATTTTTAATACATCTGCAAATTTATTATAAATTAATCATGTGATCAGTATTTTTTTAAAATTATACTATATAGAAACCAATTCTTGGTTTTCTTAATCTTTAAGAAATTTTATCTAAATTATTTTATATATAGCTTGATCATATCCAAATATGATTTTTTTACTTGGATATTTTAATTACTTTGGAATTGAAACAAGTGAAAATTATTAGATAGCTTTTAAGTCTTTCATGAATATTAAAGATCATGATTTAACTTAACTTTATATTGGAAAATGTTATGAAATGGTTATGAAATTTACGAAGACAAAACTGCAGCTTTTGAATATTATGAAAAAGCAGCTAATATAAATTTTATGGTGGGACAAACACAACTCAGATATATTTATTATAATGGTAGCAAAAGATTCAAAAAGGCGCTAAAATGGTATGAAAAGGCTGCAAAATTGTGCAAATATCATCTTGGTAACCTTTGATGGTATTGGTATTATAAGGAATTGTAATAAGGCTTTTGAATTATTTACAGAATCGGGAAGGATGGGAATATTTTTTTTATCTTCTTCGGCAAAAGGGAATTATTCAGATGGAAAAACAATATTAGGATATTGTTACAAAATAGAAAGGGAACCAGCAATAATAAGAAAAAAGCATTTGAATTATACGTAAAAGCTGCGGAATTAAACAATAAAATAGCACAATATAATCTTACTTTATTGTATGAATATAGAGATAGGTCAAAAAAACAAAAGAAAAGCAAATGAACTGTATACAGAATCTGCTAAACAAATGATATCCAAGTGCAATTGAAAAAATTGAACAAAATAATAGGAAATAAATTATCTTTCTAATGTTTTTAATTTATTTATTTAGGTAAAATAATTATTTTTTAATTATTTATATGTATATTTAAAATGTATTTATAAAATGTATAAAATAACGTATAAATTTGAATAAATTAAATGCATGTACACTCAATTCATTAGAATCTTCAACTTTTTTATAAGTGTTTTCGATTCGTTTAATACTTATTACGGTAAGGAACGTAGTACAAGTCTTGAAGCGTTCATCAAGTGAAAATGTTAAGTACTTTGGAGATTTGACCGGAATTTTTAATTACATAATTTTTCGCTACTTTTTCTCGGTTCTCTCTAATAACACAGTAAGCAGTGTTTTTTATTGCGTAGATCTATGTTCCCGTAATACTTCGTAGGGCAATGATCTCTACGTTTATTATGTGAGGTGTAATACTCTTATTCCGACATTTTATTTTATTTCTGATTGGAAAAAAAATAAAATTTAAAAAAACTGAAGCCGAAATTTAAAAAACGAAATTTTAAAAAAAAAATAAAGCTGAAGTCAAAAAAACAAATCCGAAATGAAAATAAATAAAAAAATAATTAATTAAATTTAATCAAAAAGTTATTTTAAAAATTCGTGGGGGGATTAAAAAAATTAAAACTTAAATTAAAATTAAAAATTAAAAACCGCGATTATTAAAATAATCGCGATATAAAAAATTATAAAAATAAAAAAATGAAGTAAATTTAAATTATTAACCCTAATCTTATTTATTTATTTTAAATTAATTAAAACTTTACATTTTTTCGTCGCGATAGCGACCCGGATGTTCAAAATGGGAAATAATAAATTTAGATAAAAATTCATTTATAGTAGGTCCAGATGTAATTAAAGAATATTCTCATCTAAAACAAAAAGCATCACAACCACTTCCAATTTAAGAAAATATCATAAACTTTACATATACAATATATATACTGCAAAATTAATAATGATATTTATAAAAATTAAATAACAAATATTAAGGCCGGCCATGATCATGAATCTAGTTGAATGAATTTAAGATCTTTATACAAGTAATAGTAGTATATATAAACTTAATATAATAAAACTGATATATTACGATATGTACTAGTCCTGTGACTAGACATTTGCATCGCAATTTCTAAAATTAAATTAAAAAGTTGAAAATCAATCGAGTTATAATCATAGTAAATCATATGATCCGTAACGTGATTTTAATTGCTTGTTTTATTCCAAAAAAAAAATTTTTATTAAAGGACAAATACATCAGATTAAATAATTATTATTTTTTGTATTTTTAACAATGCTTTTTCTTTATATACTGATATATTCGTTAGATATAACAAGTTAGTCATGTATTACTTTCATTACAATCGCCGCAGTGTTAGGTCATCTGAGGAACAATACGATATGCAAACCAGTTTTATAAAAAATTAGCATTTACGAACGACGCAGTATCTGCGGTAAAATAACAAAAATGTCAAAATAACAAAAATAATTATATC